TTATTACACACATGCTCAGTCATATATATTTATACTTGCTGTTGTACTTAAATCCCAAAAGCTTAATGCCTTTTGTCAATTTTGATATTGGAAAATAAGAATCAGGGGATATATCCTGAAGAAAAACATGGATTTTTTTTCCTGAATGGTGTTTGATGAAAATTTTAAGAATAGTCATTTGAGCCTGTCATGAAAAGATGTTTGTAAGAGGATAAATTTAGTTGAAATATGGTTTACTGCAAGATGTTACTTTTTTGACCAAAATTCTCTTGTGTGTTCTGAATATATGAAGAGTGTACAGCTATGTTATTGTCTCTATCTCCCATTTAGAAATTGACACTAACTTTTTTTGAAATGACATGTTGATTGCTGAGTTGAGTTAGCTCAGCAATGAATTCACATTGTATATGTACATTGTATATATGTACTACAATGTAATATTTAAAACATAAGGTGACATTGGGAACATAGGTAGTAGTTTTATAAAAGCATTGCAAGAGCTATTTCTTAATTTACTTGAAAAAAGTAACAGTAAAATTTTGTGTTTTGCAATTTTCTTCTGATTCCTTAGCTATATCAGATTGAAAATGGTACAACATCAGAGATATCCAATGTAATGGTTTATTGGGATTCTGTTATACATCACTGCCAAGGCTCCTCCTGTGCATTTGAAATAAAAAAAGCAATCACCTTTGCAACAATATTTATCATTTATTTTAGTAGACTTATCAGTAGACAGAATTTCATAAGACTGAATTAAAATAATTGTAAATGGAACAGACTTTCAATACAACTAGAATCCATAAATTTGTTATTTGTGCAAAATTAATATCCTCACTAATATTGATAAATATTTGAATTCTTATAAGTAAGAATCAGTTATATATAGAAAAAACCCAATGGTTCCAGAATAAAATACCACAATGTTTATTTGGGACTACTAATTAATTATATGGAAGTTTTAAATACAAATTTAGATGCATAACAGAACTTTGACTACATCTACAGTAAGTAATTGTAATTTCTTGAGGTAAAGAGAGGACTGGGTGGTAAGAGCACTTGGTATTCTTGCAGAGGACCAACCAGAACTCACATGGTGGCTAAAAACTATCAGTAACACCAGTTTGCAGAGATTCATTGCAGACTTTTGATCTGTACATATACTAGGCAAA